AGTTACGTATTGCTAGTAACATCTCAATATGTGACAATATTTTGTGTGTAGTTAGTACTCATTTTTTCAGTTACTGATATTATGTTGACGTGTGTAGTAATAGTTCGTAAATGTTTTGATAGTATTGTTTGTTTACGTTTGTGTCACTAAGGGAACCAGAGGATACTGCGATTTATTCCCTTTTATCATCAATTTTTTTTATAATTCCGATTCAGGTATAAATTTTTTCCTGTAGAGTAGTGTTTAAGCTGGTGTTAGAATTGTGCATCTGTTGGGGTGATATATATTTTGTTGAAAGTCTAAAGGCCTGTTTCATGTGTGCGTGTGTAAATATTTCTTGGTACTTTTAAATTTATTGTTGCCTGAGTTTTAATATTTCAATATCATGTATAACTTTTTTCACCTGAGTAGTGTTTTGTCTTGTGTTAAGAGGTGCGATATTGGTGTTTCATTATTTGATTGTGTTTTGTAGTGTTGGAGGAATATATGTTAAATTTTACAGTGTGTCTCATCTTCACGGACATGCCATTTTGTTTAGTAGATTTAGTGTTTTTGTGCTGGTCTGATTTTTCTAAAGTGTGCTTCCATGCAGTAACATTTAACAATCTTTAATAAACCCGTCAAGTGAGAAATTAAAGTCCAGTATTGGACAATATATATATATATATATATATATATATATATATATATATATATAAATATGTATATGTGAATTATATATAAATATATGTTTTATATTTGTGTTAAATATATATATATATATATATATATATATATATATATATATATATATATATATATATATATATATATATATATATATATATATATATATATATATATATATATATATTGTTTTTTGGTTGTTGGTGTTTGTGTTGTGGTTGTTTGTTTTTGTGTTTTTGTTTTTTTGTTTTTTGTTTTTTTAATACACACACACACACACACACACACGCACATACATTATATGTATATAAAATAAAAATATATAAATAATATATATAAAATATATGTATATATATATATATATATGTATATATATATATATATATATATATATATATATATATATATATATTAAATATGTAAAAATATATATATATATATATATATATATATATTAAACATATATATATGTATACACATATACACATATATTTATATATATATTATATATATATATAATTATATATATATATATATATATATATATATATATATATATATATATATATATATATATATATATATATATATATATATATATATATATATATATATATATATATAAATATATATATATATATATATATATATATATATATATATATATATATATATATATATATATATATATATATATATATATATATATATATATATATATATATATATATAAATATATATATATATATATATATATATATATATATATATATATATATATATATATATATATGCAGTTCGGCATGCATATAATAAGTATACAATTCACATGTACAGTATATAGACAACCTAAGAGTTGCATTTGATAAGACCTTTATCTTTTAGATCAGTCTGCATGATAGTCCTCTAAGTCCTTTATGTATTACCATCTTTCAACAGATAATGGACATAGGTGTGGTGGAAGCAGAGGAGGACAAGTTATCCGCCTCCCTACAACACAGCTGAAGGGCCACTGTGGCGTGTGAGGCTCCTGACCAAGGCAACTGCTAACACCTACCGGAGTCAAGATCCAACTTTTTGCCACAATTATGCTCTCTTATTTGGCATCCATCATGCTTTAGCCGACGGCTTCACCAATATCAGAATCTGTAACATGCTGCATACCATACTGGAGGATGTGATGGCCGGGCGCACAGTGGATGATGAACAACAACTTGGAGAACACGTCGATGATACACAGGTTCTGGGGACTTTATGAACAAGAGACTAGAAAACTAATGGAGGATCCGAAACTCTTGGCAAAAGCCAAGGAGCAACTTCATGAAGATGTTTGCCCACTTCTTCACAAGTTTTTCCCTGCTCAAGAAAACACTGATATTAAAACCAGCTACGTTAATACTTATTTTAATGAAGAAATGACGCGATCTTTTCTTCATAAGTGTAAAGCTGAGGGAGTTAGTCTTCACTGTGGTCTTACAGGTGTTATAAATGTTGCTATCATTGAGCTTCTTGAAAGTTTCTGTGAGTTGCCCCATGAAATAAATTTTCGGGCTGGTCATGATGTGAACATTAGACGCTATTATACAGGTGACACCTCACGTACTCTTAGCTCATTTGCCAACATTTGGTTTTAAGACGTCCTTTAAAACCACTAAAGACCTCCGCTATAACTTTTGGCCTTCTGTCAGGATATTCCAAAACAAATTTAATTCCGAACTGAATGATCGGCAGCCGCTACAAGCTGTAGCACTAAGAATGATGGAAAAATCCAAGTCTGATAATTTTGGGAGTATTTTAGACGCCATGGAGTACCTGGCTGCTATTATACGATATCCAACTTGGGGGATGTAACTCCCACTCTCCCTGGAGACGGAGACTGTATCAAGGTATGGAAGGTGACCCGCCTCTCTTCCCTCCGCGGCATGACCAACTTCATTTGTTTCTACGTCCACACTCTCAAAGGTCGCCTTGATATTAATCTTGGGTTTTCGACTCGGTTTTTAGACCACAAAGTCGCCAGCAAAATCATGGAGAACATTAGTAACAGTATTACAACCCTATGTTGAGTTTTATCTGAGCTTGTAGTGGATTGTAAACGAACAGGAGAGATAAACCTCCTGACGAAGATATCCTGATAAAAAAAAATTTTCTGAAAGGCCACCCAAGACACGCCTTCCGGTGATCAAAGGATTATTATAAAGCTTTTTTGCAAGTAAGGTATTCGAAAGATATGTTAAACAATACAGGAAAAAAATGCATTATCACATTTATGTATCTATTAACTACTTAGAAAATAGTAAACTGCAGTGTACGAGGGAAACCCTAACAATGACAATCTTAAAAAGGAACTTTCATTACAAAAACAAAAATCCACCGGGCAAATTAAAACAGATGCAGCATTGACGATGGGGATGTTTAAATGTATAACTGCAGTTCAACAACTAATGAATTTTTTAATGTAAAATGTATTACTGCGCTTCAACAAGCAAGGTATTGTTTATGTTATACAGTATAATGTATTACTGTGCCTCAACAACTAAGGACTTGTAAATGTTGCGCTTCAACAACTAAAGTCTTTAAGTGCGTATTCTAGATGAGTAAATACACAAGTCATCAACAATTAAACATTAACCCTTCAGAGGATAATGTATCCCTTAGGTATTTTATTCAGGGTACACCAGTGAATTATATTTTGCTGAGGGAGCCCCTTCCCGCGGTACGGTCAAGAGATATATTGCTTCCCACAACCATATATCCTAACTCATATATATATATATATATATATATATATATATATATATATATATATATATATATATATATATCTTGATAAAATCACACGGGAAAATGGAAACAACGGAGTACCTTAGCTTTCGTCTTTATTCAAGACATCTTCAGAGGCAACTGGATTACATGGACAGAGAGAGGCTTAAATATACAGGGTGACCTAAAAACATGAGGTCAGGTCATAATGATGACATCCACTAATCCCCACACCAACACAACCGTAGAGGAGCTTAAGAGAAGGGTGGTGACGTGACTAGACAGGTCAGGTCAGAAAAAAGGGACCCACAAAATAACTGTCATACATCAAGATCAAAGGTTTTCAAAGCATTTTAACCTTGGGCCACTGACAAATAAATTTATGTAACATATTATCAGTTTTGAACTGACCATCACTAAGGTTTATTGATTTTAATTCCTTAATCAAACTAGCTTCAACCAGAAGTCTTTCTGTGACACAAGATGATTTGAATACTTCTAAGCTTTTTTCCCAAGCAATGGGGTGATTATTATTCCTAACATGAACGAACAAGGCACTGCTTTCAGATGCAGTTCTGATATTATACTTATGTTGTTTGATTCTGAGCTGCAGTGTTTTTCCTGTCTGACCTACATAATTACAATTACATTTGCTACATGGAATACAATAAACACTTCCATTTACATTCAAACTTGGGCTATTCCTTATTAACATATTGGTAATGGTTGAGTCATACTTGAAAACAACATTAATATTTAGAAGCTTGAGGGACCGAACTAACGGGACAAATTCATCACGATAGGGCAGAGTCAAAATATTCTTAAGTGTAGGAACTTGTCTGGTTAGAGAGGAATGAAAGGATTTTTTAGCCCTTTTAAAGCAACGATCAACAAACACAGAAGGGTACCCAAGTTTCTGTGCAATAGAACGAATGTGTTTAAATTCATCGTCAATAAATTCAGAGTCACAAATACGCAGACATCGTAGGAACATAGCAGAAAAAACTGACATTTTGGTAGACTCAAGGTGATTGGATAAAAAGTGAATGAAACTGTCTACCTGTGTGGGCTTTCTATATACCTTAAATTTATAGTTTTGGCCATTTCTCATGATAAGCATATCAAGAAATGGAAGGGATTCACTTATTTCTCTTTCAATTTTGAATGTGATACTAGGGACAATATTATTAAGCTTGTCTAAAAATTCCAATGGGTCACTGTTTTTAGGCCAAAGACAAAGAACATCATCTACATATCTATACCAAGGAGGAATACAGTCCACTACATTGGGGAGTAATCTAGACTCAAAAAACTCCATATAAATACAGGCTAGAGGAGCAGAAAGACAATTACCCATGCTCATGCCAAATATTTGCTTGTAGAACTTCCCATTTGCTCTAAACACATTGTCAGTTACGCATAACTCTATCAATTTCAGGAAAGTATCATGTTCAATAGTTAAATCTAGCAGTTGTAATTTATCTTTAAGAAATGAAAGTAAGTCTTTCACAGGTACTCTAGTGAACAGTGAATTTACATCAAAACTTATTAATTCGCAAGGTTCGTTGTGTTTCTTGAGTTTATCAATTAAATCACTGCTATTGCGTATATGTGAATTAGATATTTGGCCTGTAAGAGGGGATATCATCTTTACCAGCCACTTGGATAATTTGTAAGTAACAGAACCCACAGAACTCACGATAGGACGTAATGGACTATTAAGCTTGTGTGTTTTGATCAATCCATACATATAAGGTAAAGTGGGATTGATTTGAGGCTGTATATTTAAGCCTCTCTCTCTCCATGTAATCTAGTTGCCTCTGAAGATGTCTTGAATAAAGACAAAGCTAAGGTACTCCGTTGTTTCCATTCCGTGTGATTTTATCAAGATTTATCTTATCCACGTTTTCTTGTGGATTTACATGAAATATATATATATATATATATATATATATATATATATATATATATATATATATATATATATATATATATATATATATATATATATATATAACAAAGCAATGTCTAATTTTTTTTTTTACAATATGTGCACCCTTTGTGGTTCGAACATCGAAACGATATTCTGTTTCTCTAAATACATCATAATCTGTGGTCACAAATTGAGTGTCCACTTGGTAGATCTCTTCCATACTTCCATTGGAAACGCTGCTGAACAGTGAATACAGATTGTGTTGTATAATGCTCAAGTACAAAGAAAGTCTTCTCTTGTTGTGACACCATAATTTATGGGGAAGAGAATTCGAATACCTTTATCATAATATCATAAACTGCCCCCAAAAAAAAAAAAATAGACATTGCTTTGTAATTGTGTATATTACTTTTTGCTCTCCCATTGTTAGTTTCTTTATCATAAATATTTTAAATCAGGAAGATCGTTTGTCCTTGTATAGTAAGTATTGATTGTTTTAAGCTGCTATTTTTGTATTCCTGATTCACCTTTGCACAATTTAATGAATGATTTCCTTGCAGGTATTTTCACAATGAAATTGTGTTAAATATCATCCTAGACTGTCAGCCAGAGGTAGCAAAAAGATTGCCATAACTATATGATTCTGGTCTGTTAACCAAAGCTGTTATTTCAGACTATAAGGCTGATTATTGGGCCTAGGAGTTAAGGCACTGTTAAGAGGAGAGATGTATTAGCCCTTGTCTTATAGGCAAAAGTATTTATATAAATGGGTTAATTACATTCGACTTATATACTGTACTCTATCAATCCCTGTAACTTTCCACTAGCTATGAGGTAGCATGTTCAGAGCACGTGATAAGGTGTGCACACGGGAAGTCGCGTCACTTGGTGCTGAGTTAAGCATTAAGTAACCGGCTCTCTGGCCACCTATTGCGGACAGTAGTTTGATAACCCTGACTAGAGTGTTACGAGTTGGGGATTTAGAATATAGTTATACGTCTACCCAGATCCCAACAGGCAACAACAACAAAAAAACAAAGACAATCGGACTATAAAAGGGTAGACAAAGGATGCGAGTTTTCGTTGTGTATAATAAAGTACCATAAATCCTTAACAAAATATTCAGCTTATAAATTACCCTTAACCAAACTTAACCTAAACATTAACAGTATATACATATTAATAAAACATAAAACAATCGTGAAGCAAGGTGGAGGCGGGAGAGGCAATACAAGATTACAAATACTTAAGTGAGGAGCTGAGATGGCTGACGAGTAAGGCTGAGTATTGTAGAAGACGGTAGGTAGTCACTGCACGGTAGGTTTAGAGGATAGATGACCCTGTGGTCACTTCCCAGAGCCAAGTCCTCTCTCCTCGAATTGGAGCTCACAAAGAAGACTGGGAGGAAGTGACGCAACAACCAGGATATGGAGAAGGGAAACCCCGGAGTGTTTAACTAAGACGAGTCATACTCGTGCCTCGTCCCTAGATGGCGTTGCTCGTGGTGCTGGGTAGGTAGATCAAGACAATAGATGGCGTGGTTCGTAGTGCTGGGTGGAGGGGTTCGTAACACACCCCCCCTCCAAAGACCTCCGTAGCGCGGGCGCGAAGGAGGTGATCACCTGGTGCGTCTGGAGAGTAGCTGCTGCATTTCCACTGGAGCTCGAGATAAGGAGTCCCCAATCAGGTTGTCCACCCACTTTATGTGCCGGACTTGTAGATTATAGGGCTGGGTGAGGAGAGCCCAGCGGAGCATTCGCTGGTTGGAGGTCTTGTTGGTTTGGATGAACGTGAGTGGGTTATGGTTGGTGAAGACTAGGGTTGTTTGTGGGCAAAACTGGAGGTAACATTCAAACTTCTTTATTGCCAACACCAGAGCCAGGGCCTCCTTCTCTATGGTCGAGTAGTTGGTCTGATGTTTTTTCAACTTGGCGGAGTAGTATGCCACAGGGTGAAGGACATCAGTGGTTGGGTCGGGTTGTAGGAGCACAGCCCCAACTCCGACACCGCTAGCATCGATTTGCAGATGGAAGGGCAAGGTGTAGTCAGGGGGTGGACTACAGGCTTGGAGGCAAGGAAGGCTTTGAGGCGGTGGAAAGACTGGTCGCACCTCTGGCTCCAGATGTAAGGGACCGCAGAACTGGTAAGGTCTGTGAGGGGTCCGGCCACGCTGGAGAAGTTACTGCAGAACCGACGGTAGTAGCCGCACATCCCCAGGAAGCGCATGAGTTCCTTCCTCGTCCTTGGAGTGGGGAAGGACAAGATGGCTTTAACGTTTGCGTTCTTGGGTCTCACCATACCATGCCCAACGATATGTCCCAGGTAAGTCACTGATTCCCGGCCAAAAGTAGATTTAGCCAGGTTTATGGTGAATCCAGTCTCTTGCAGTCGTGCAAACAGTATCTCCAAACGCACCAGATGTTCGTCCCAGCTGTCCGACACCACCACCAGGTCATCCAGGTAGGCGAACGTCCCACCTAGGTCCTGAATAAGGTAGTTGATGGCCCTCTGGAATGTGGCCGGAGCATTAGAAAAGCCAAACGCCATAACCAAATATTGAAAAAGACCAAATGGAGTTATAAATGCCGAGATTATTTTTGCTCTATCCGTGAGTCCCACTTGATAATATCCTTTCAATAAGTCCACCGTACTGATAATGGCACAGCCTGTCTTATTATATTCTAATCAAAGGTAAAGGGTAGGAGTCTGAGACAGTGACCTGTCTACTCTTTACGATAATCGGTACAGAAACGAAAAGTGCTATCGGGTTTTGAAATGAGAAGGCAAGGTGAAGCCCAGGGGGAGGTACTAGGCTCAGCTAAGTTATGTTTTAACAAAAAATCTACCTCTTTCATAATCTCTCCTTTTTGTGGATTTAGTCGATATGCTGATTGCCTAATGGGTTGTACATCATCTGAGATTAGCTTAATATCACGTTTAAGTATATTGCAAAAACCTGGGAGGTCTGACGTGACTTTAGGAAATGTTGATAATAACTTAGTGAGATCTTTTGCTTGAGATGGATTCAAAACAGAAAAATACTCATCCAAGCTGTTGAAAAAGTGACTGTTAGCAGGGTTTTCTTTAG